GTAGGTGTTAGCCAGGGTTGATACGCACGTGTAGTCCATACCAACTGCTTGCCATTCTTCCAGGGGTTCACTGTGATACCATCCGGGCGACCAATAAGAGCATCAGAGTTACGGGGCGTTAGGTAACGGGGCTCTCTTTCAGCTGGGCATCCAGCTGTAGTGAGGCTCCTCTTGATGATGTCGTTAACTTCACTGTGCCTCGAGTGCCATCCCCCTGTGCTTTGGCAGAGTAGGCCATGGTGACCGTACCTGTCAGCCACCACCTCGCCGCAAATACACCTATATCTGGTGTGGATTGGGGCAGCAAGGCGGAGGGCCACAGCAATTCGGAGGGCCACAGCAATTCGCAATTATATATATATATATATATATATATATATATATATATATATATATATATATATATATATATATATATATATATATTATAAATAAAGAGGGAATATAACAGACTCGATTCTCATGTCCTTCAAGAAGACCTGGACAAAATATGTGTATGGAGAAACACTTGGCAAATGGAATTCAACGTGAGGAAATGCTATGTTATGGAATGTGGAATAGGAGAAAATAGGCATCACACAACCTTCAAATTATGTGGAAAGGAACTAAGGAACTCTAACAAAGAGAGAGATCTAGGGGTGGTTCTGGAGAGTTAGACCGTCACCACAGGAACACATAAAGCACATAGTGAGAGGAGCACACATGCTGCACTTTCCAGCTACAGGCTCGCTTGGAGTTACATGGGTGTCTGAAATACTTAAGAAACTGTTCATGACTATTGCGAAACCCAAATTTTAATACAGAGCGGTTGTATGGCGCCCATATCTCCAGGAACACAGTAATAAACCTGAAAAGATGCAAAGTCATCAGCAACACCCGATGGCTTGAAAGGCGGGATCCAAGAGTCAATGCGCGATCTTGCAGGCACAAATAGGTCAGTACACACACACACACACACACACACACATATACACATACACTCCAGGCGCCGGTGGCTGTGTGGATTGCACGCTGTACACGTGATCCTGTGGCCCGGGGTCGATTCCCGGCGCCGGCGAGAAACGATGGGCAGAGTTTCTTTCACCCTGATGCCCCTGTTACCTAGCAGTAAATAGGTACCTGAGAGTTAGTCAGCTGTCACGGGGTGCTTCCTGGGGGGGGGGGGGGTGTGTGTGAAAAAATATACCAGTTAGTAAAAGTTGATTGACAATTGAAAGGCGGGGCCGCAAGAGCAGAGCTCAACCCCCGTAAGCACAACTAGGTGAATACACACACACACACACACACACGCACGCACGCACGCACGCAGAGACAGGGAAGACATGATCACTACCTACAAAATTCTCAGGGGAATTGACAGGGTAGATAAGGATAAACCTTTTAACACGGGTGGTACACGAACAAGGGGACACAGGTGGAGACCCAAAGTACCCAAATGAGCCACAGAGACGTTAGAAAGAATTTTTTCTGAGTCAGAGTAGTTAAACAGATGGAATACATTAGACAGTGATGTGGTGGAGGCTGACTCCATACACAGTTTCAAATGTAGATATGATAGAGCCCAGTAGGCTCAGGAATCTGTACACCAGTTGATTGACAGTTGAGAGGCGGGACCAAAGAGCCGAAGCTCAACCCCCGCAAGCACAACTAGGTGAGTACACACACAAAGCAGTCTAACACTGGTAAAAAGTGGAATGAGGAAGTACGCTAACAGTTTAGGATAATACCAATTATAAATATTAAAAGAGTAGGTCTGATAAGAATAAAGAAAGTTCGCGACCGGTACCCGGAAAGCCAGGGCCCAGGAGCTAATTCTGGCTCTACACACACATTGAAGTACTTGGAGGCGTATGTCGTACATGCCATGATATCAAATGCTATCCTTTCTTGCCGCTAGTTCACCGCAATTGCTATTTTGACCGTTTTTTTCTGAAACGTTATCCTCTTCACGGTCAATCTGACGATTAAACACGACATTTACTGTCGCTGTCAGCTGGCGTCGCTGTCAGCTGGTCTCGCTGTCAGCTGGCGTCGCTGTCAGCTGGCGTCGCTGTCAGCTGGCGTCGCTGTCAGCTGGTGTCGCTGTCAGCTGGTGTCGCTGTCAGCTGGTGTCGCTGTCAGCTGGCGTCGCTGTCAGCTGGTGTCGCTGTCAGCTGGCGTCGCTGTCAGCTGGCGTCGCTGTCAGCTGGTGTCGCTGTCAGCTGGCGTCGCTGTCAGCTGGTGTCGCTGTCAGCTGGCGTCGCTGTCAGCTGGTGTCGCTGTCAGCTGGTGTCGCTGTCAGCTGGTGTCGCTGTCAGCTGGCGTCGCTGTCAGCTGGCGTCGCTGTCAGCTGGTGTCGCTGTCAGCTGGCGTCGCTGTCAGCTGGCGTCGCTGTCAGCTGGCGTCGCTGTCAGCTGGCGTCGCTGTCAGCTGGTGTCGCTGTCAGCTGGCGTCGCTGTCAGCTGGTGTCGCTGTCAGCTGGTGTTGCTGTCAGCTGGCGTCGCTGTCAGCTGGCGTCGCTGTCAGCTGGTGTCGCTGTCAGCTGGTGTCGCTGTCAGCTGGTGTCGCTGTCAGCTGGCGTCGCTGTCAGCTGGCGTCGCTGTCAGCTGGTGTCGCTGTCAGCTGGCGTCGCTGTCAGCTGGTGTCGCTGTCAGCTGGCGTCGCTGTCAGCTGGCGTCGCTGTCAGCTGGTGTCGCTGTCAGCTGGCGTCGCTGTCAGCTGGTGTCGCTGTCAGCTGGCGTCGCTGTCAGCTGGCGTCTCTGTCAGCTGGTGTCACTGTCAGCTGGCGTCGCTGTCAGCTGGCATCGCTGTCAGCTGGCGTCGCTGTCAGCTGGCGTCGCTGTCAGCTGGCGTCACTGTCAGCTGGCGTCGCTGTCAGCTGGCATCGCTGTCAGCTGGCGTCGCTGTCAGCTGGCGTCGCTGTCAGCTGGCATCGCTGTCAGCTGGCGTCACTGTCAGCTGGCGTCACTGTCAGCTGGCGTCGCTGTCAGCTGGCGTCGCTGTCAGCTGGCGTCGCTGTCAGCTGGCATCGCTGTCAGCTGGCATCGCTGTCAGCTGGCGTCGCTGTCAGCTGGCGTCACTGTCAGCTGGCGTCGCTGTCAGCTGGGGTCACTGTCAGCTGGCGTCACTGTCAGCTGGCGTCGCTGTCAGCTGGGGTCACTGTCAGCTGGCGTCACTGTCAGCTGGCGTCACTGTCAGCTGGGGTCGCTGTCAGCTGGCGTCGCTGTATGTCAGCTGGCGTCACTGTCAGCTGGCGTCGCTGTCAGCTGGGGTCGCTGTCAGCTGGCGTCGCTGTATGTCAGCTGGTATCGCTGTATGTCAGCTGGCGTCACTGTCAGCTGGCGTCGCTGTATGTCAGCTGGGGTCGCTGTCAGCTGGCGTCGCTGTCAGCTGGGGTCGCTGTCAGCTGGGGTCGCTGTCAGCTGGCGTCGCTGTCAGCTGGTATCGCTGTCAGCTGGCGTCGCTGTCAGCTGGCGTCACGTGTTGTTGAATGGAGGGCTGACACATCCATCCACGAGAAGCAGCATTGATTTCTTTGACAGATGAAGTCAGACTTTTTCACAAAATGTCAGAGATATTGACGGTATCCGTCAACCCGGACAATTGGGACCTTCATTAATGGTGAACCAATCAGCGGCCTCCATGATCAGGAACCAATCAGCGGCCTCCATGATCAGGAACCAATCAGCGGCCTCCATGATCAGGAACCAATCAGCGGCCTCCATGATCAGGAACCAATCAGCGGCCTCCATGACCAGGAACGACCATGAACCAATCAGCGGCCTCCATGATCATGAACCAATCAGCGGCCTCCATGATCATGAACCAATCAGCGGCCTCCATGACCAGGAACGACCATGAACCAATCAGCGGCCTCCATGATCATGAACCAATCAGCGGCCTCCATGACCAGGAACGACCATGAACCAATCAGCGGCCTCCATGACCAGGAACGACCATGAACCAATCAGCGGCCTCCATGATCAGGAACCAATCAGCGGCCTCCATGACCAGGAACGACCATGAACCAATCAGCGGCCTCCATGACCAGGAACGACCATGAACCAATCAGCGGCCTCCATGACCAGGAACCACCATGAACCAATCAGCGGCCTCCATGACCAGGAACCACCATGAACCAATCAGCGGCCTCCATGACCAGGAACCACCATGAACCAATCAGCGGCCTCCATGACCAGGAACCACCATGAACCAATCAGCGGCCTCCATGACCAGGAACCACCATGAACCAATCAGCGGCCTCCATGACCAGGAACCACCATGAACCAATCAGCGGCCTCCATGAACAGAATCGACCATGAACCAATCAGCGGCCTCCATGACCAGGAACCAACATGAACCAATCAGCGGGTTTCATGACCAGGAACCAACATGAACCAATCAGCGGCCTCCATGACCAGGAACCACCATGAACCAATCAGCGGCTTTCATGACCAGGAACCAACATGAACCAATCAGCGGCCTCCATGACCAGGAACCACCATGAACCAATCAGCGGCCTCCATGACCAGGCACCACCATGAACCAATCAGCGGCCTCCATGACCAGGAACCAACATGAACCAATCAGCGGCTTTCATGACCAGGAACCAACATGAACCAATCAGCGGCCTCCATGACCAGGAACCACCATGAACCAATCAGCGGCCTCCATGACCAGGAACCACCATGAACCAATCAGCGGCCTCCATGACCAGGAACCAACATGAACCAATCAGCGGCTTTCATGACCAGGAACCAACATGAACCAATCAGCGGCCTCCATGACCAGGAACCAACATGAACCAATCAGCGGCTTTCATGACCAGGAACCAACATGAACCAATCAGCGGCCTCCATGACCAGGAACCACCATGAACCAATCAGCGGCCTCCATAACCAGGAACCACCATGAACCAATCAGCGGCCTCCATGACCAGGAACCACCATGAACCAATCAGCGGCCTCCATGGCCAGGAACCACCATGAACCAATCAGCGGCCTCCATGACCAGGAACCACCATGAACCAATCAGCGGCCTCCATAACCAGGAACCACCATGAACCAATCCCGAGCCAAACTATAGATCCCGGTAGTACAATCAGATTAGTTCTTCACATACAATCGAGAATTCCAGGTTCGAATCCCGGGCGGGCCAGAAATGGTTGGGCGCATTTCCTATCACCTAATGACTCTGTTCACCTAGCAGTGAGTAGGTACTCAGGAGTTAGTCAGCCTGTTGTGGGGTTGCAGTAACGGGAAACAGACGCAACATACAACAGCCGCAGCATACAACAGCCGCAGCATACAACAGACGCAGCATACAACAGACGCAGCATACAACAGACGCAGCATACAACAGACGCAGCATACAACAGCCACAGCATACAACAGACGCAGCATACAACAGACGCAGCATACAACAGACGCAGCATACAACAGCCGCAGCATACAACAGACGCAGCATACAACAGACGCAGCATACAACAGACGCAGCATACAACAGACGCAGCATACAACAGACGCAGCATACAACAGACGCAACATACAACAGACGCAGCATACAACAGCCGCAGCATACAACAGACGCAACATACAACAGACGCAACATACAACAGCCGCAGCATACAACAGCCGCAGCATACAACAGACGCAGCATACAACAGACGCAGCATACAACAGCCGCAGCATACAACAGACGCAGCATACAACAGCGCAGCATACAACAGCCGCAGCATACAACAGACGCAGCATACAACAGCCGCAGCATACAACAGCCGCAGCATACAACAGCGCAGCATACAACAGCCGCAGCATACAACAGACGCAGCATACAACAGCCGCAGCATACAACAGACAGCATACAACAGCCGCAGCATACAACAGCCACAGCATACAACAGCCGCAGCATACAACAGACGCAGCATACAACAGCCGCAGCATACAACAGCCGCAGCATACAACAGACGCAGCATACAACAGCCGCAGCATACAACAGACGCAGCATACAACAGCCGCAGCATACAACAGACGCAGCATACAACAGCCGCAGCATACAACAGACGCAGCATACAACAGCCGCAGCATACAACAGACGCAGCATACAACAGACGCAGCATACAACAGCCACAGCATACAACAGCCGCAGCATACAACAGACGCAGCATACAACAGACGCAGCATACAACAGCCGCAGCATACAACAGCCGCAGCATACAACAGCCGCAGCATACAACAGACGCAGCATACAACAGCCGCAGCATACAACAGACGCAGCATACAACAGCCACAGCATACAACAGACGCAGCATACAACAGCCACAGCATACAACAGACGCAGCATACAACAGCCACAGCATACAACAGACGCAGCATACAACAGCCACAGCATACAACAGACGCAACATACAACAGCCGCAGCATACAACAGACGCAGCATACAACAGACGCAGCATACAACAGCCACAGCATACAACAGCCGCAGCATACAACAGCCGCAGCATACAACAGCCGCAGCATACAACAGCCGCAGCATACAACAGCCGCAGCATACAACAGACGCAGCATACAACAGCCGCAGCATACAACAGACGCAGCATACAACAGCCACAGCATACAACAGACGCAGCATACAACAGCCGCAGCATACAACAGACGCAGCATACAACACCCGCAGCATACAACAGACGCAGCATACAACAGACGCAGCATACAACAGCCGCAGCATACAACAGACGCAACATACAACAGACGCAACATACAACAGACGCAACATACAACAGACGCAGCATACAACAGCCGCAGCATACAACAGACGCAGCATACAACAGACGCAACATACAACACCCGCAGCATACAACACCCGCAGCATACAACACCCGCAGCATACAACAGACGCAGCATACAACAGACGCAGCATACAACAGGCGCAGCATACAACAGCCGCAACATACAACAGACGCAGCATACAACAGCCGCAACATACAACAGACGCAACATACAACAGACGCAACATACAACAGACGCAGCATACAACAGACGCAGCATACAACAGACGCAGCATACAACAGCCGCAGCATACAACAGACGCAGCATACAACAGCCGCAGCATACAACAGACGCAGCATACAACAGCCACAGCATACAACAGACGCCAGTGTTGGCAGCATCACTGGGGCTCCGCAGCATGGTATACCCCATAATGACGAGCACAAGAGAATATGCTGAAAATGAAGTAACGAAAGTGAGAATGGAACACATGAAGAGCTTCCTTGACCTTTCTTCTTGAGCTGACAGTGAAGACTAGTAGAAAAAGTGACAAATATTGGAAAGTGAAAAATGTGATGACTATTAGAAAGTGAAAAATATTCACTATTAGAAAGTGAAAAATATTCACTATTAGAAAGTGAAAAATATTCACTATTAGAAAGTGAAAAATATTCATATAGTGAAAAATACTCACTATTAGAAAGTGAAAAATATTCATATAGTGAAAAATACTCACTATTAGAAAGTGAAAAATATTCATATAGTGAAAAATATTCATATAGTGAAAAATATTCATATAGTGAAAAATATTCACTATTTGAGAGTGAAAAATATTCATATAGTGAAAAATATTCACTATTAGAAAGGTAATAATATTCACTATTAGAAAGTGAAAAATACTCACTATTAGAAAGTGAAAAATATTCAAATAGTGAAAAATACTCACTATTGGAAACTGAAAAATATTAGACACTATTCTACCAGTAAGCCTATGTTAGCATAGGCTGATGGTGACATTATGGGGATGAGATTACTTTCCTTCTGAACCATATTTTGGACGTGTTTGCTACACGTGTGTGTAATCGAGTTTGGGAGTTCTTTCAATTACCTGTGAAATACCAACATAAAGGAAATATACTGAGGGCCCCGAGTTGTTTAGGAGTCTCCATGACTCTGTGCCGGGAGAGTTAGTCGACCACGCCTGGACCCCCGAGGCGCCAGTCACTTGTTTCCCGCCATTTGTGCGTAGTTGTCACTTCAGGGACGTAAACATTGTCATCCACGCTTCCGTGGAAATAAACTTACCATTCACCCGGGTTGTATGGGTTTCGAACTGTGGATACCACGCGTGTGTGTAACCGAAGCGCCATCGACTGGGCTATGAGTTGTCTTTAAAAAGGAAGGAAACTTCTGGAAAGTTTACTTTTTAAGACTACTCACTGGCATGTCTCACTGTGATGCTGACAGGTGTGTGATGCTGACAGGTGTGTGTGATGCTGACAGGTGTGTGATGCTGACAGGTGTGTGTGATGCTGACAGGTGTGTGAAGCATTAGGAGCAAGGGCGGCCATGTTATAGTTGCTAATACACCTCATGCACATTTATTTACATTGGTTGTCGTGTTTCCCGAAGATAATGTGTTTTGTACTGACGTGTGGCTCATACTGATCATTTCTGAGCCGCTAGACACAAAAATATAAACAACTGTGGTTCTTTCGTTCATGGTATAGGCAGTGGCGAGGGAGGAAGTGGGAGGGGTGGAAGGGAGCGCGAGAAGGAATAGGAGCGGTCGACGGGACGGGACGAGGGAGGGAGCGGAAGGGGGCCGACGGGGCGGAGGCTGCGGCAAGCGTGCAAGTGGGGGCGGGAAAAAGTTGAGCAGAGAGCAGCCGCATGTAAACACTGTGCCGGGTCACTCGGCCGGGAGAGAGAAACAAGGATTTTCTGGTTGTGAGGGCTGGCCGGGGAGGGCTGGGGATCACTGCCCTCATTGCCCTGGAGCGAAGATTCATTGGGTTATGAGACTGAGGGATGGGTGCTGGGGATAATGTTAGCAGTGAAGGAGAGAGCCGTGAGGCGAGAGCTGATGTTCTATGGCAGAGTGGGGAATGGAATGGGGTGGGGTAGAGAGTAGCTCATGGCACGCAGGCTAGCTGCCATCCAGCGGCATGCAGGCTAGCTGCCTTCCAGCGACACGCACGGTGCCTTCCAGCGGCACGCAGGCTAGCTGCCTTCCAGCGGCACGCAGGCTAGCTGCCTTCCAGCGGCACGCAGGCTAGCTGCCTTCCAGCGGCACGCACGGTGCCTTCCAGCGGCACGCACGGTGCCTTCCAGCGGCACGCAGGCTAGCTGCCTTCCAGCGGCACGCACGGTGCCTTCCAGCGGCACGCAGGCTAGCTGCCATCCAGCGGCATGCAGGCTAGCTGCCTTCCAGCGGCACGCAGGCTAGCTGCCTTCCAGCGGCACGCAGGCTAGCTGCCTTCCAGCGGCACGCACGGTGCCTTCCAGCGGCACGCAGGCTAGCTGCCTTCCAGTAGCTCGCAGGCTATCTGCCTTCCAGCGGCACGCACGGTGCCTTCCAGCGGCACGCAGGCTAGCTGCCTTCCAGCGGCACGCAGGCTAGCTGCCTTCCAGCGGCACGCACGGTGCCTTCCAGCGGCACGCAGGCTAGCTGCCTTCCAGCGGCACGCACGGTGCCTTCCAGCGGCACGCAGGCTAGCTGCCTTCCAGCGGCACGCAGGCTAGCTGCCTTCCAGCGGCACGCACGGTGCCTTCCAGCGGCACGCAGGCTAGCTGCCTTCCAGCGGCACGCACGGTGCCTTCCAGCGGCACGCAGGCTAGCTGCCTTCCAGCGGCACGCATGGTGCCTTCCAGTGGCACGCAGGCTAGCTGCCTTCCAGTGGCACGCAGGCTAGCTGCCTTCCAGCGGCACGCACGGTGCCTTCCAGCGGCACGCAGGCGAGCTGCCTTCCAGCGGCCCCCACGGTGCCTTCCAGCGGCACGCAGGCTAGCTGCCTTCCAGCGGCCCCCACGGTGCCTTCCAGTGGCACGCAGGCTAGCTGCCTTCCAGCGGCACGCAGGCTAGCTGCCTTCCAGCGGCACGCAGGCTAGCTGCCTTCCAGCGGCACGCAGGCTAGCTGCCTTCCAGCGGCACGCACGGTGCCTTCCAGCGGCACGCAGGCTAGCTGCCATCCAGCGGCACGCAGACTAGCTGCCTTCCAGCGGCACGCACGGTGCCTTCCAGCGGCACGCAGGCTGGCTGCCTTCCAGCGGTACGCAGGCTAGCTGCCATCCAGCGGCACGCAGGCTAGCTGCCTTCCAGCGGCACGCAGGCTAGCTGCCTTCCAGCGGCACGCAGGCTAGCTGCCTTCCAGCGGCACGCAGGCTAGCTGCCTTCCAGCGGCACGCAGGCTAGCTGCCTTCCAGCGGCACGCAGGCTAGCTGCCTTCCAGCGGCACGCAGGCTAGCTGCCTTCCAGCGGCACGCAGGCTAGCTGCCTTCCAGCGGCACGCAGGCTAGCTGCCTTCCAGCGGCACGCACGGGGCCTTCCAGCGGCACGCACGGTGCCTTCCAGCGGCTCGCAGGCTAGCTGCCTTCCAGCGGCACGCAGGCTAGCTGCCTTCCAGCGGCACGCAGGCTAGCTGCCTTCCAGCGGCACGCAGGCTAGCTGCCTTCCAGCGGCACGCAGGCTAGCTGCCTTCCAGCGGCACGCACGGTGCCTTCCAGCGCAGCCTCTTCCGCTACCAAACCTATCTCCATTAACTTGTCCATCATTTTATATAGATATCTTTATCACTATTCTTCGTTACCCTTGTCCACAAGGATGTAAAGGAACGAGGGATTTTTCGCCGGGTTTGACTGCACAAGGGGGCCTCGTAGCCTGGTGGATAGCGCGCAGGACTCGTAATTCTGTGGCGCGGGTTCGATTCCCGCACGAGGCAGAAACAAATGGGCAAAGTTTCTTTCACCCTGAATGCCCCTGTTACCTAGCAGTAAATAGGTACCTGGGTGTTAGTCAGCTGTCACGGGCTGCTTCCTGGGGGTGGAGGCCGCTAGACACAAAAATATAAACAACTGTGGTTCTTTCGTTCATGGTATAGGCATTGGCGAGGGAGGAAGTGGGAGGGGTGGAAGGGAGCGCGAGAAGGAATAGGAGCGGTCGACGGGACGGGACGAGGGAGGGAGCGGAAGGGGGCCGACGGGGCGGAGGCTGCGGCAAGCGTGCAAGTGGGGGCGGGAAAAAGTTGAGCAGAGAGCAGCCGCATGTAAACACTGTGCCGGGTCACTCGGCCGGGAGAGAGAAACAAGGATTTTCTGGTTGTGAGGGCTGGCCGGGGAGGGCTGGGGATCACTGCCCTCATTGCCCTGGAGCGAAGATTCATTGGGTTATGAGGCTGAGGGATGGGTGCTGGGGATAATGTTAGCAGTGAAGGAGAGAGCCGTGAGGCGAGAGCTGATGTTCTATGGCAGAGTGGGGAATGGAATGGGGTGGGGTAGAGAGTAGCTCATGGCACGCAGGCTAGCTGCCATCCAGTGGCATGCAGGCTAGCTGCCTTCCAGCGACACGCACGGTGCCTTCCAGCGGCACGCAGGCTAGCTGCCTTCCAGCGGCACGCAGGCTAGCTGCCTTCCAGCGGCACGCAGGCTAGCTGCCTTCCAGCGGCACGCACGGTGCCTTCCAGCGGCACGCACGGTGCCTTCCAGCGGCACGCAGGCTAGCTGCCTTCCAGCGGCACGCACGGTGCCTTCCAGCGGCACGCAGGCTAGCTGCCATCCAGCGGCATGCAGGCTAGCTGCCTTCCAGCGGCACGCAGGCTAGCTGCCTTCCAGCGGCACGCAGGCTAGCTGCCTTCCAGCGGCACGCACGGTGCCTTCCAGCGGCACGCAGGCTAGCTGCCTTCCAGCAGCTCGCAGGCTATCTGCCTTCCAGCGGCACGCACGGTGCCTTCCAGCGGCACGCAGGCTAGCTGCCTTCCAGCGGCACGCAGGCTAGCTGCCTTCCAGCGGCACGCACGGTGCCTTCCAGCGGCACGCAGGCTAGCTGCCTTCCAGCGGCACGCACGGTGCCTTCCAGCGGCACGCAGGCTAGCTGCCTTCCAGCGGCACGCAGGCTAGCTGCCTTCCAGCGGCACGCACGGTGCCTTCCAGCGGCACGCAGGCTAGCTGCCTTCCAGCGGCACGCACGGTGCCTTCCAGCGGCACGCAGGCTAGCTGCCTTCCAGCGGCACGCAGGCTAGCTGCCTTCCAGCGGCACGCATGGTGCCTTCCAGTGGCACGCAGGCTAGCTGCCTTCCAGTGGCACGCAGGCTAGCTGCCTTCCAGCGGCACGCACGGTGCCTTCCAGCGGCACGCAGGCTAGCTGCCTTCCAGCGGCCCCCACGGTGCCTTCCAGCGGCACGCAGGCTAGCTGCCTTCCAGCGGCCCCCACGGTGCCTTCCAGTGGCACGCAGGCTAGCTGCCTTCCAGCGGCACGCAGGCTAGCTGCCTTCCAGCGGCACGCAGGCTAGCTGCCTTCCAGCG